CCGGTGGTTGCTGGCATGAACAGGCCGGAACTGGGCTCGTCAATTTTCGCTTTATATAACTCGACTCGCTCTGCAAGTGACCAAAACTCGTTGACATTTTTAGACTACAATCAAAAGCATTTGACTAACTCAGCATCGACATTGAGTCGGACTATAAATGCCGCTCCGGGAATGTCGAAAATGGATAAAAAAGGTCAACCATAGTATGTGACCAACGGTTTGTGATATCGCGCGTAGACGAGGCGCGATTTCCCGGGGGTATCTGAGTGCACGACTGATCCTGTGTTTCACTGAGGCGTATGCCCACCAATAATCTTGATAAACTCCATTCCCTCATAGATCTTAATAGCGTTTTTATCCCCACGGTCCACAGATAAGTGTACCACATCCCAGTACTCGTAGGTTATAGTGATCTAGAAAACGACAGACATTCGAGTCATATTAAAGGCCATAGTCGACTCACATCGTTGAAGATTTGTACCAAAAGAATCGTTTCTATATCTAATCTTCTCCAAGCTTCGGTGACCTCAACCTGAGAATCCATATAGTTGAACGTTAAATGACACTGTGAGGCTCGCCTTGAGTATCGACCCGAAGATCCCACCGGGTATTTTCGGGCTCCATGTTGGCCTGTAAAACATAACAGTTTCACCAACACGAAGACGATGACTCACCTATGGGCTTCGATTGCAGCTTGGACAGAACAATCTATGTTTTTCTCAGGGATATTCATCGTGACCCCGCCAATAATAGTCTAACGAAACGACAGAAGTTGTGATAAGCAATCCAGTGGAGTCTCACATTAGATCCACAGATCGCCGCTACCCAGCAGGGGTAGAAATAACAGTTGCAAGCGAAGTCTTTTGGCATGAAGGAGAAGTCATCCCCCTTTTGGAATTGGCGATAAACCACATCGGTCAGTGCGCGTGGTACATGGTCCTCAGGCAACGAACGAGCCAGACAGGAGGAGACAAGTAAGGCATACACCAGGGAGGCCACCAGGTTCATTTATGATGGGGTAAATATCTATCCACCTATAAGAAGTCAAGACAGACACGATTACCGACATACACGACCACCGTTGAAGGCGGTTGCCTAGATCGTCATATGGGTAATGTCATTCTATGGCTCTCCATCCCTCTCATAGTGACCTTGACTTCCCTCAACTCACACATAAGTGAAGATATTTAGCGAGTTTAGCTAAACATGATGAGACAGAGTCACGATACGTGCGGTCGCCATCGACCGTTCTGAGACGGCTGCTGCTGTCAGATTCTCGTCGTCTCATTTTATTCATTACTGTCATTAAGCCGTTGATTTTGTGGTCCTTACCATACGCTCTCTAATGAGCAATCTTGGATCTTCTACTACTGCTATGTAGTCCTCCGGGCTCGAGTTCGGTATCACTTGGGTTCCCAGGAAGCTGGGGTGACAGTAACTTCATACGCGTCACACTGGCTGATTATGTTCTCGAGCCAATTTTGAGTGCCCCTCGGTATAGCATTAATTTTAGGTCATTTAGGAATCATCAGTGCATATGGTGTTTCCTCGCTATGGAGTAAAGTTCAATGAATCAGGGGTAAATACGTGCCGCATTCACGTATGCAAGCAAAGCGTGAATCGTTCACGGTGAATGTTTGAACGGGGCTTCGGAACAGCTTTACATGAGCAGTACTTGTTTAATAACTTATTAAAGCTATTTTGAGCAGCGCTTGGGGATGGGTCTGATCGACATTGTGACTACCAAGCTGCATGGTTGGACTGTACCGTAGTTAGTGGGCATGAATCTCGCAGTGAGACTCTCACTCAACACGCGACTCACGTGACGTGAGGGAGTGTCTCACTCAGCATGTGACTCACGTGACGTGAGGGAGTGTCCCAAATCCATATATTTCATGTTGGAACTACGAGTCGGTACAGCGGTGTTCGCGCACGTATGCTGCATACAGTATGCACGAATCTCGCTCCGCCATTATTCGCTGCATGAAACCGGCTCTGTTGAAATGAATAAGATAAGAAGCCTTATCACCTATGGCTA